TATGTTGTAAGGGTCTACATGACTTAGTATGCCAAAAGATAACTTTATCAGATGTACTTTTTGAACAAATTATACTAATTAAGTGATATAAACTGCAAATAATTCCATGATAAAACATTAGTTTGAAATTTGAAACAAGCTATAGCTGTGGATTTTGTTTGGTTTGATTTGGTTGTGGATTTTCATTGAAATTCTGCATAAATTTTATCCAGTAATACCAAACGCTCCTAAAATAAATCCTGACAAAATAGATGAAGCAGCAAAAAGGAGAAAAATAATTTATTCAAAAATCCAGGTGCACAATCTTTTCAAATGTGATTGCATTGACAAGTAGCAAGTACTTTTCCAGTGCTAGGACACATTATGCAGAAATGCTTTCATTAATTTGTTCAAACATAAAAAGTTTGATAAGAGTACATGAAGCATATCCAAAATCCTCATTCATTGTTCTCTGCTTTTAGGTTTGTGGTGAATTGTTGGACACAAATCTCTATTAAAACTTTTAAGTATCTTTTCATATATGGAGTAATTATATCCTGCAGAATTTTATTTCACTCTTTTTATTTTGATATTTTTAAAGTGGTACAGGCTCAGATAACAATTATGGGTAGTCCTCAACTTATAAGCAGTCACTTAGTGACTGTTTGAAGTTACAATAGATCCCCCAAAAGGTACTTATGACCTGGTTTTGAAGTTCTGAAGTCTGCACACCTTGCAGTCATGTGATTCATTTTGGGCATTTGACAATTAGCCCACATTAACTTGACATTTGCAAGGTTACATGACCTCAATTTATGACTTTTTTTGGCCTGCATTTACATCAATAAAAATGTCCATTGGCTAAAATGGGTTCATTAATGACTGTGGCATTCACTTAGTGACTGTGGCATTTGCTTAATATCTGCCACAAAAAAGTCATAAAATCAGGCATGGTCACATGGTGATCCATTCAATGATCGCCATGATTTACAGCTGTAATTCCAGCTCAGATAATCCTTCCATATAATAGAAAGACAAGTGCTAGAATATTAATGTCATAATTTAAATATTTAAGAAATATTATATGAAAAATTTGAATTACCAAACAATGTGACTTAATTGTATCTTGTTCATTAATACTATTACAGTTACCATTAGAACCACAAAAATGCTTAAGATAAATTATCAAGGTAATATGTTTGAATTATTTATGATACTTGCACATTCATGAAAACAATACACCCTTTAGAAAAAAGATAAAAATGATTTTTTAAAATACAAAACTCCTTATAAACAAGTACAAAACTTAGTGCAAATATGCATTTCTTTCAAAGCACTTTATGAATATAACCATATGATTAGATTCTAAACAGAATCCATTCTTCCCCAGATATATTAAGTTAAAAATTAACATTGTGTCAATAGTAATGAATATGTTATTTCTAGATATTGGGGTTAACATTCTATATACCAAAGAAATAAACTGCTCTAGTTTAAGATAGTGATTGTGTATCTTTTGGGCTCAGCATGTCAAAAAGGCCTAATTTGATTCTGCTGGCGTGACATTGCTCCACAAACGAAACAGAGAGAATTCTCCACATATTTATTTGAAAAAATAATCATGTGTGGCACTAGGTATTATATAAGGAAACATCAAATAAGTACAAAAATAAAATAAGAGTAAAACATTTTGGAGGGTTTCAAAAATAATTGTTGAATGTTGGGAAATGTTTATATTGTGACCCAAAACATCAAGGCATGTCATCTTTGACACACATATCATAGCTTTGACATCACTGGTTCTAGAAAAATAAAAAACAAAACTGTAGATTCTGACTTTTCTTGCTACTGCTTTATTTTGCGAGATTGGAGGTTTTGGACTACTAGAGTGAAAGGACCATCATTAGGGGGAAAAAATCTATCCAGAATGCCAATCATTGTATTTCAAAACATAAATTTTCATACCTTCATAGCTGTAAATCCTAAGAAAGCACCTTCATGAGAATATTTTAAATATATTTATAGATAGAAAATATGTTTTTAAAACCCGAAAACAACTTTATAGGTGATCGCTCTGCAAAATGTGTTAATACAGAGGTATATGTGAAGTACTAAACTTGTTTTACTTCCTCTATCAATGTGTGTTCTAATGAGAATGACACTTGTATTATTAGTCTACATTGCTTGGACTATGCAATTTATGAGCTATATATTTTAGCAATTATGGTTTGTAAGTTTGGCAGGTTTTCAACACTAATTCATTTTTATTTTAATGAAATAATGGAAATGAATTATTATTTATTTATTAATACATGAGGCAATATGATACCTTAAAAACTAAGTATCCATTAGTTTATGCAGGAAATCAATAGTTAAACAACAATAACTATTACCATTATCATACAGGAATAGTTTGTGTATTTATTTAAAAAAGAGTTTCTGGTTCCATTTTTATATTTAATAAGACATGAAAAAGAAAGAGTCAAACTTATAAACAGTTGGACTGCCCAATCATTTTATTCTTATCTATAGGACTAGAACATAATTCAAGAAAACTGGACCAGATAATGCTTACAATTCTGTACAAATTGTGGAGTCCATATTATGCTGACTAATATTAATATATCACTGAAATGTCTTACATATGAAACACAGTAAACTATATTCTTTCTTTCTTTCTCCTGGTGAGATTCAGAAGGCCCACATCTCTAAGTAAAACGGTTCTTTGTGGATGACAGGTGTTATTAGAAAATGTATATGCTATTAACTTCTTTAACAGTTCTGGGCAGAGCAATCAACAGCTATAACTGATACTTTTATAAAACTATTATCCATCATTTGGAGTGGAGAAAGAAAAAGCACTTGTACATGAAAGCAGTAATCCTACTAGAAAATTGTAAACCCAGTAGAAAGCCATGTTTACTTACTTCTATTGTAGCTCTAATTTAAATATATAGCTAGGAAAATGTTTGAAATAAAATTCTGCATACTCATGATCTAAATTTGGAAAAAAAAGTTATCCCCTTTCATATCTCCACAATTTTGCTATCTTCCTTAAATGCAAATGTATATAACAAATGCATTATTTCAAGGGCTGTTTCCTTCAGAAAATTATTAGTCCTATTACAGTTTGTAAATACTTTGCAAGGACTGGGTTTTCACTATGAAAGGCCACATCTGAACATTAATAAACCATTAATTCTGGTTTTATGAGGATAACACATAAAATGGCATAAAAATATCATATGGGATACTGTATTTTTGCGATTTTTACACTCCTTGCAGTCACACAAGTGAGAAAATAAACCAAGAAGTCAGATTTAATTTATGGAAAGGTAAACTGACTTCAACCAAAGCATGCAGATACTCTGTTGTGACATTAAACAATATCAGAACAGAGAATGACAATAAACACTCACACCAGACTCTCTTTCTCAGAACATACAAATATAATCCATTAGATTCTTATTAATTTTACACGTAGCATTTAGTTTAAAATTTATTTTTTTAAATTTAAAATATTGCATGAAGACAGGAGAAATAATGAAAGCTTGAGCTTCAATATGAAGTTTAGAGTACTGTAGTGCAATAAAATCATGGTGTGTGATCAGTGACACGTCCATAGAAATTTCCAGCACACATTGAATAGCCTTGCTAAAATTCAGCATTCATTAATGTCAGTAGTTTCTATATAGTTATATTTCACTGAATTTTGACTTGTTAATTTCTAGAAGGCACAAAGATGAACACCATTACCATGGTTGTATGTTACAGTATCAGAATGTTTTTAACTTCATATAGTATTTAGTTTCTAGAAGAAAAGAGAGGATTCTTGTTTGCATAAAGAAACCTTGAAGAGTACAGGATTGCAATAACATACTATTTTTGTAACAGTTTCAATATTTAACAAGATAACCCCATCAAATCAATTTCATTTATATGTACAGTTTTATACAAAAGTAAATCTAATTATTTTCAATTATTTTCTTGCAAATAAAGAGGAATAGGATGGCAAAAAAAATTGTTCTTTAAATCAGAAGTGTGATGTTATTTCTCAGGTTCCCTATGGGCAGAACTGAAGCCCTACAAGAGACTCTTAACTGGCTCCTGTGACTTGAACAGAAGAGGCTTTAGGTACAAATGACATACTTAGTTTTGTTCTTCTGATATTTTTGAATAGGGTTATGGTGTCTTTTATTGTAAACTTCCCAGCATCACTTTATACAGTGAGATGGCATATCAATCTGATTAATAAAAACAAATTAAAATAGAGCTGACAACCATACCTCAACTAAAAAGAAATATCAAGGGCATCAAGTACTGTAGTATGAGTTTCAAATCCCAGGTCAGTTCTCTTTGGGGGGGGGGAACAAACCCAAACCGCTGCCCAGAAGAGAAAGCACCAGGGAGTCACGATCAACAGAAGAGGAAGTGGAATTAAAAAGATACTACAATTTCATTCAAAGCCAATGAAGCCGAGAGCGATGCGGTGAGAAATGGCTTTTGGAGACTAATTTGGGGGATAGTGGACGGCCCCGCACACGGGACAGCTGCAAGACCTCTTAATTTCATCGGCGTTTATTTGTTCCCTTAAAATAAAAGAACTTCTCCCGCCACAAATCGCCTTTCGTCTCGGAGAGGAAACCAAGATCTCCAACTACGAAAATGCTCCTCCTTTCTCTCTCTCTCTTTCTCCTATGGGCCAAATACAAGCTTCCTTGCTTCCTTCCATCCCCTCAATTGCCTCCGCGCCCGCCTCCCCCCGATACGTTTCGTGTCCGCCTCCACCTCCCGGATCCTTCTTCGCTTCTCTTCTCTTGAGCGGCCGCTCGCCCCAAGGGAAAGCCAGGCGTCCCCTTCCGTCCTTGGCCCACAGAAAGGGCGGAGGGCATAGCGAGCGGTCCACGTTTCCCCGCGCCCTCCCCCTCCCCGCCGAAGGATCTCCCCTCCCGTCCCTTGTCGGAGCGCAACAAGCCTTCCCGCAGACTGAGCATGCCGGAGGGCAGTGCCACCTTTCTCACCTGCGCCTCCTCTCGGGCTGCGGCGGCTGCTCCCGGCGGTGCCCCCCCGCGGGCTCCCCCCGCGGCGGCGCCTCCCGCTCCTGCTCGCCCATCGCCGCCGCCGCCGACGGCATCCAGCTGCCGCTCCCGGTACAGCGCCCAGAGCCCCACGTTGGGGAGGAAGACGAGGGCGGCCAGCGCCAGCCCCACCGCCTGCAGCAGCCGCTTCTGCTTCCGCCGCATCCGAGACGCCGCCTGCGAAAGGGGCTAGCGCGAGCCCAACTTTCCTCCCGCGCTGAAGCCGATGACAGCGACGCTCGAGCCCCGGCGCGAGGCTAACCAGCCGCCCAGCTCAGCCCGTTCCCTCCGTTTGGCAAGGCACTTCCGCTCTGGGGGCGGGCACTCCCACTCCTACCTCGAGCGAGGAGGGTGGCCGCGCAAAGCTCCGCCCACACTTCGAGCTGGACCCTCGCTTCGTTAAGCTTGTCGCGGGAGAGCGCCGGCTGTCCGCTTTGCTTACCCCTATCGCCGGGCAAATGGTACCGGCCGCGCGGCTTTTTTCTCTTGAGGGTAGCGAATGACCTGCCCGGCCCAAAGCATTTTTAACCCTGGAAACGGTGGAGGCGGGTGAGCGAAGGCGGGTCGATTTCAGCAAAGCCCCGCTTCTCCCCGTGAAACCACGAAGAAAGAGAGCGAAGGCAGCCAAAGAGAAGGGCGCAAAGGAGAAGGGGGCGGGAAGGGGTCGCGTCTTGTCCCTTGAGAAGAGGAATCGGGGAGGCGGTTTCTACTTTTACGGGGGGTGGGGGGGGGGAGGAGGAGGAGGCTGGCTGCCCTAACGTGAATAACGTGGTTGGAGAAAGAATGAAATCCAGACTTGGATGCTAGAACCACAGGAAGGCGGTGAAATAAGTTGAATAAAGAAAAAAAATCAGCAGAGCTTTTGTGTGTGGAATAAACCCATCTTTTCGATGTTAGCCTCTGATCAAACTCTGCGTCTTTTAAATATTCGCTGCAATTTCTCTCTTCTTCCCCATCCTATTGTCTGGCTGCCAGGCTTCCTAGGTGAAGGTTTTCTTTTGCTTTAACTGCACTTGTATTCGAGGAATTATTGTAATAACAGGAATTTTATTTTATTTTTATTTTTCTCCAGGTCAGCCTTTCTCTCTTGGTGACTGTCTGGACAAATCCTGGCAGTTTGCTTGGCAAGGTTTTTGGGAAATGGTTTGCCTTTGCCTCCTTCCTAGGGATGAGGGGTAGTGCTTGCATCAAGGTCACCCAGTTGGCTTTACAACTAGAAATTACAGTCTCTTGGTTTCTAAGTTGCTGCTTTAACCCTTTCCACCCTACTGATTGTCCCCTAAGATATATAACTACTTTACATTCCCACAAGACTGTTAATAAAAGAAAAGCCACTGACTTTGAATTTTAAAAATATTTATAAAATAAGGGGGGGGGGGTGTAGGATAGCTTCAGGAACACACCCAATGCTGATTTAGATTCCCAAAGCTAAGCAGTGTAAAAGTATGTAAAATACATGTTTGTGTAGCTGTCATACTATTGATGTTGCACCAGTCTCTGCTGGGTATATCTGCAGCACTTGGCCATTTTGTCAAGCTAAACAAAATCAGATCTAGTTAGTACTTGGATGGAGAACACAAGGGAATTCCGGGATTGTAAATAAATACAGAAATCAAAAAGATAATCCAGAAGAAGGGTATGGCAAGCTACTTCCATATAGTTGCCAGTAAAATGCATGGATATGGCCATATAGTCACTAATAGTCATATAGCCATATAGTCATATAGTCACTAAGGGTTGAATTTAAGTCATGGTCATCTTTACCTATTAAATAGTTTAAAATTTTGATTTCTAGCCTAGCTTCTGTATTAAGTCCTATGTAGAACAAACAACTGTTGTGAGTTCTGAAGTGATGTAGTTACTGGAACTCTCTGCCTACTTTTTTTTTTTTAAAAAAATCCAAATTAAGCATTTGTTAAACATTAAAATGAATGGCTGCACTGATCCATACAGCCATTAGAACTTCTAAGTGGTAAATTTTAGAATTTGTTCTATAAACAGATAATTGAGAAGCATAACTTATAAATGAGGGTACTTTCAAATCTGCATTTTTCTCTTACTCTTAAATTCTGAGTGAATATGGTATGATATGTAAGCTATGTTACAAATGTGCGGTGTCATTTATTTACAGCAGAATACACAGCACAGCAGATAAAATCGGACATTCAAATTTTCTAAAGGTTTTTGAAACAAATCTAACAGCTGATTTCAACTTTCAGTCTCAAAGCAGTGTGCAAGGCTACTTCATTACCCATTTTTCCAATAATGAGTTACATAATGATATAAGACAGAACTGATATGAATGATTCATATTTGGGAACAGCAATGTAGTTGGCTGAAAGCAAATAAAACAATTTTCCCATAGGAATTGAGGAGGAAAGAATGTAGCTGTACCACAATGTATACTGATATTATTGGATGCATTTAATATGAACTGTGAAGCACCAATAAATAGTATTCTATAGTATGACAAAGATAATAAATATATAAGACATAATCAGCTTTCAGATGAGTAAGATTGACAGTTCAATACTGTATATCTCTGAGAAGGAGTAAATCCTATTAAACACAGTTCTGCTGCCTCTAAGTAGATAGACCTGATGTTGTACTATAATTTCTGTAAATTTTCCACAATTACTTTGCCATTAATTTATTATTGGTATCTGTAGCCTGTGAATGACCATAATTAATACTAATGTTAATTGACCAGCAAATCATTTAAATATATTTTACCATATTGTGCACAATCAAAATAGGGCAATGTGGCACAAGAATTTATAATAATTCATTTTCCTTTGTCCCTATTTGATTAGTTTCTTAATTTAAGAAGAAACCACCTACAATATATAATTGAGAAAAACCAGGCTGTGTAGTAGTAATGTTAAAGCATTTTAAATAAATAGGTGTCTTGCATTTAGAATGTCGACTGTATAGTACTTTTTATAATGTTATGAAATTATATTTTTATTGGAAAATTTTTCTTTTTGCTTTCACTCTACTCATTATCAAGGGAAAAATATGCATGTACTATATGCAACTATCATGTAATCCACTAGGTGGCAAGCTTCCAGTAAAATCTGAATTAATCAACTCCAACTAAATTATCTAAAAACAACACTCAAATTGCAAAGGCCATTTACAGCACTCAAATTGGTATACCTGCAATTCACTTTAGTTAGGCTTTTGAGCTTATTGATTTTATTTCATCCAGAAAAAACATGTCACTACTTCTTGGCAGGCTAAAGGGAAAGATAATCACAGATTAAGTCTCAGGATACTATAATTGAAGACTGTGTTGAGTTGAATTTGATTCCTGGTGACTGTATGTGATTTTTAGTTTTCCACAACATGGATAGGTTTGCATTGCTTTCTTCTCTTTGTGTGTTTATGTGTGTGTTTTATTTCCCTCTGTACACTAGAGCATTGAGAGTATTCCTGGTAGTCTGTCATCCAAGTGCTAACCAGTTCCAACCCAGGTAGCCTTTTCAAGATAAGCCAAGGTACCAGCACTGTGGTGAAATGGATTGGTTGGGTAGTGGTTATGCTTATTTTTTTGTATTGGGATAGTGATAAACCAATGGATCATCAAGCATACCAAACTAGATTTGATTTCATTAAAGGCACAAATTATCAGGCTCAGATTATTTATTAATCAAATATGTTAAGTTTATAAATGTATTAATAAATACATACTTTGAACCTGGTCATTTGTGCCCTGAGTGATATCAAACCTGGTTTGATACGTTCAATGATCCATTGGTTTACCACTATCCACACATTCTATTTCAAATACATTATCTGAAGATTAATTAATCTCTGTCAGACCTAAAACCAAGAATAACATGTGATTCTTCCAAGCTGAGTTCTTTATTGTTTCATGCCTGTAGACAAAATCTTGCCAGATTGAGCATTCCACTATTTGCAGCTACAATATAATCTGTGAACTATTGGGGGGGGGGGGGGCTGTTTTCACCTTCTTTCTCTCACACATAATATCTGGCCTAAGTTGCTTCTTACTCCGTGGAATGTACCTCCTCCCTCCTGGGAATCCACCTCCTTAACTACATTCCATCACATCTCTGGAAAAGGCTGTAATGTTGGGAAAGAGGACAACAAGATGCATAGATTCAGTTAGAGTGGTGGTGGCTGTACCATTAGAAAAGCTGTTAGGGACAGATTCCTGAAGAAGATCTGTCTGTGTGGTTGCTAGGAGTTGAAAACAACTGGATGGCACATAAAAAAAAACAGTGGCAATGCATATGTAGCCATTGTCTCAGCATGTTATAAGAATCAAGACAACAAACAGAATATTTGGGCCTAGTGTGTTATATAAACACATTAACTGATTTATTAACCCAGCTATAGTGATTAATAAAACCAATTCATTTGATTTGTTTGTTTTCTTTTGAACATTTCTATATTAACCAGGAGAATAGAAAACAGTACTTTGACTCTTGGTGCATAATTTGTGCCCTTATCAATTATACAACAATAGATTCTCATTTAATTTAAATTGTTGTAGAGGTTAATAATGAAACTGTATCAATAATTAACCACTAGAAGCTCCCTTATAAGTGTTTTGCAAATGCTAATTTTTTTCTTAATCATTTTCCTTTTTATTTCTGTGACTCCTAGTTGTCTCTGATCTTCCTTTTTTATTCAGTCCCAGATTACATTCTTTTCTCTGATACTATCATATTGTATGCTTGGTCCTCTTCCTCCTCCCCTCCCCTTCCTTCACGTATAACATCCTAAACTGCTTCCTACCGATAGTAATACTTGATCTCCTTAAGTCTGTTTCCACAGAGCCATTTCCTGTCTATCATCTGTTTCTCTCTGTGTTTCATATAATGATTCCTATCATCTTTCTAGCACTGCACATATTTGCTTCTATCTCTCAGCCATTCCTCATTCCCTGTGCACAGTAGTATTTGCACTATCACAGAGCTTTGCATTACTATCTTGTTTCTGTCCTCCTTTCTCCTTTTCTCTGTTCCAAAGAATATTAAATTTTATTAAATTAAATGTGTGTGTGTTCCGAAAGAAAGAAGGGATCAGAGAATGGAATGGAGGAAGGGAACAGGAAAAAAACAAAATTGGGAATTGCAAACAAGATTAAAAAGCTACCAAAAAGAATAATTTCCCATTTTCTTTGGTACTGATACAGGTTTAAAATACAATATCCCTTTGAGTTACAATAAATCATAACACACAGTGACTTCACAATCATAAACAAATCTAATCATCAAATACTAAGGTTCAAGTTTCATTTCTTTCGGTTTCAAGCAACAAAT